CGAAGCAGATGGTGGTGAGGTCGAAGGTAGCTGGATCCAGAAATGACAAAGGACCAATGAAGAACATCGATTGATTTTCTCCGTCGCCCCTCAGGCAGCGAGAGAGCTAGCGAGGGGCCGGAGGTATGGGTGGCCGTGGAGGTGGGGGCGAAGAATGTAGATGTAGCACAACCGAGAGGCTAAGAAAATGCATGGAATTAATGCCAATTATGAGTGCTCAATTGTTGTGTGGGTCTGGGTGTGAAATTGTGTCCCAATTCCAAATCCAAAATTCCACAACTCCAAATCCAAAATTCCACAATTCCAAATCCAAAGTTCCAAATCCCATTCCCCTCCCCCCTGGGCCTCCCTTTTCTCGCCCGACCGGAAAACAGGGTGTTACTAATTACATAATGGGGACACCCTGTGGTTTCCCATCCAAATAGGATGCCTTTCTCTTCCACACTTATTCTTAGCCAATTCCTCCCTCCTCCCTCCATCCTCACACTCTAATTTAAGCATCGCGCCACCTAATTCCGCTATCCTTTTTCTTCAACTTTACCTCTAACATCATTTATTAACAAGGTGGAAAGTTGCTTAACAGTCTGTTTTAAGCAGGATCGGAACACACCTCATTCATTTCTTATTATATATACCTGTATGTTTTGAATTCTTCCTTGGGTTAATCCAACCATATTTACCTTTTTGTTTGAGCATCACGCCACCTAATACTCCCCTATGCTTTTGGTCCCCACCTTCTTCTTATTATTTTTCTTAAACATATTCTTCAACTTTTAGTCTTTACCATATCTGCTATTAGCATTCCCTCTCGTTCAGCTTCGTTTAACAACTAACATGCCTATTGCCTTGTACAATCCTTACTGCATCTTATCTTCATTCTAACTAAAGTTTTAACTTATTTTCACCTTTTAAAACCCATCACCTGACACTAACTACACTGAAAAGAATGTGCAATAAAACTTCAAATTCAAAAGCAATCCTGCCAGACCTCAATAACTCTAACTCAAGCGCCGTGGCGTGCAAGCCACAGCCAAAACCCTTTTGCTGAGAACTTGACGCCATCATCCAATCTATTGCATAATGCCTTTGATTGTCGCCATAGGCAGAGCAAAGAGTAGTTTTGGCAATTTCGTGATGGCACCTCAACCTTCCCAACACTTATCCTCTCTCCACAAACTTTGCTCTTCTTTATTCCAACTTTTATTTTTCCCACCACTCTCATTCCCATTCAAATCAATCACTAAGATATTTTTGCGAAAAGCAGATATTTATGCTAGACATAAAAGAAAAGGGGCCGGATAAGAATGCATTGCAGTGCCTTTATAGCAAAAAGGGATTGGCGAGCAGTAGAGAGTGATGGTGCTCAGTTTTGAAGCTCAAAAGGGAAAATGGATGCAGATCACCACAAGACATGGACTGGAAAAAGCCACACGTTATTGAACTCCATTGGTTTTCCATTCAAACTTGTTCACTCTTTTCTTGGCTGCCTAACCATGCACCTATATAGTCTCATCTGTTTTCCAGGAAACTGAACGAGTGAACAACTCCCATGTGGATGTGTTTGCAACCAAAATTATGAAGAGAAACGACTACTTCACAGTAGCAAATTATGAGACCGTCGCAGTCGTCTCTTCACAAACATGTTCAACTCCCGTGAGGAGGAAGAAGAAGAGCAATAGCATGAACAAAAGAAGGTTTAGCGATGTACAAATCAGGTCGTTGGAGTCCATATTTTATTCATCTGATTCAAAGCTCGATCCGAGAAAGAAGGTGCAGTTGGCAACTGAGTTGGGACTGCAGCCTCGCCAGGTTGCAATATGGTTTCAGAATAGAAGAGCGAGATGGAAATCAAAGCAGATGGAGAATGATTTTAGGAGTCTCAGAGCTAATTATGATAATCTGGCATCTCAGTTCAAATCCTTACAAGAAGAGAGGAACTCCTTGCTCTCACAGGTACAAAAGTTGTTTTCTTCTTTATACCTTTTGGCTTTTATAGCTCTAAGCATTTGCATTACTCCACTGGTATTTGAAACAGTTGCAGAAGCTAAGTGAGCTTGTTCAAGGAAGGCCTTGCGAGGGCTATAATAATTATAGGATAGATAAAAAGAGGTTAGAGAATGGGGGACATGATCAAGGGCTTCCAGTGACGCATCTACTGAAAGACGGAAGCAACGACACGGGCCACACCAAGGAGAAATCATGCCACCTTCTTAACCCAAATGGATCATATGAAACATCTGATAAATGGTGCGGTTTCGACTCAGACGGTGGTGTCGTCTTTGAATATCAGCCCTGTAGCAGCTTGCAGTGGCCAAATTTCTGTGGATGACAACGATTTCTTGCTTGAATAATTCAAATTTGACTCAATTTTGGCATCATCTACGTCAGCTCATCATTTTATTAGCCAAACTACTTGACATAAAAAATATCCAATTATACTCGGTTAATACCAACTAATCCGAAGAACTGTAATCCGCTAACTGCTTTGTAATCTTATAACCAAAAAGAAGAGAAAAATGCTCTGTAATCATTTACCAAGTAAATAAAAGCCAAGTTCCGATGGTCACTACACTTTATCACCATGATGCGATTACAACTGACCAATTTCATAACGCGTTATCATTTAATAAATAATGCCAACAATTTGATTCTGATATACCTTATTATGAAGATTGGACCTATTGGAGAAATCCGTTCTTTCCCCTGAATTCTGCTTCTGTTTGAGTGAATGATGGCTATTCAGAAAGTGGAAGGACAAAAATAACAAGTGTGCCCTATGATCCTATATAGATTCCGTAGTTATTAGTTTCATCTGACAATGGGCAAAATCAGGAATTAGACTCTGCCCTGTAGCTTACTCGAGGTTGTCGAAAGAACAGTCAATGGTCGACAATTTTCAAGTGATGACAATTAGAGTATATTTTAAATGATTCTTTTAAGTGCTTCCAAATATTCTTTACTGGGTATAATCGTGTCCCATCATTTTGTGTTCCAGCTACTAACTTAGGGGTGGGGAGGAGGCCAAAAACGAGCTGGAACTGAGGAAATAAGACTATCTGAAGATTTAGTACTCAAAAAGTCAAGAACAAAACATGCCATTACTTGAGAACGTTGAAGCAAAATCATAACAATTCAAACTTCTAAAGAGTATAAAGCAAATAGTTCTAAGCACAAGTGCTGAAGAAAATAAGTAAAAAACATAAAACGTCTACTTGATCTTCTTCTTTGGCCTCAACTGCGAATCAGTGATGAACCAAAAAACAATATAAGTAACAAAGTGAGATTATAAATTATTAGAATAGTACAACTCAAAGAAAAACAAGTTACCTGGTTGCTATGTCCACACTTCTTTTTCCTGCAGTTTACAGCACGTGGGTGCAAGCGGGCATAGCACCTGTAAATCAATTGTATGTGATCAACTTGAAATAATGATTCAGGAAGCAATAACGAAAGTATGTATATCAATTAAATGGTAAACCTATAAGACATTCAGTTTTCGACTTCTTAAGAAAGGATGTTGATAGACACAGATGGCCAATGAATTTTGAAATGCTAAAAGTGATTCAAATAGAAGCTTGCATAAAACCACACACCACATCCAACTCCATGTATAATGTAATTAACAGACATAATAACAAACGAGTTCATATAGAATAAAGAAACAGAACGATTTTATGAAATTAATAAGCAAATTGAAGCTTACTTGCGGCAGATCATCTTGTCTTGATTGTACTTCCTAGCCAATGCCATTAGAGATGGCTCAATAATACCACCACGGAGCCTAAGCACCAAGTGCAGAGTTGACTCTGAAAGAATACAAACCTATTAAGAATCCTTGTAACAAAAAAGGGAAGTAATTCACAAAAAGATAAAGACATTCGTTCTGTATTAAAATAGTTGATGSAATGACCACTTTTGATAACACTGCACTTATCACACAATTACAGGCATCTCATAGTAGATAGCTGTATGTTCAATCTCATTCCGAGATCGTAACTAAGCAAATCCTAGGTCTTTGTAATGACCAAAACGTATAATTTTAATAATTCAGAACATGAACTTTACACCCGGTTTCTTTTATCACCGACGCCACATGACTAAGCAAAATTTATTCCTCTAGACAGGAAAGAGAATCCAATGGAAGCTAGACATAGCAACAACCTTTCTGGATATTGTAGTCGGCGAGAGTTCGCCCATCCTCAAGCTGCTTCCCGGCGAAGATAAGTCTTTGCTGGTCCGGGGGGATACCTGAAACATGCACAGGGAATTATAAAAATCCAATACATATGAAATCAACAAAAAAAAAAAAAGGTTGCCTTGACAATATAACTTTGAAAAAAGTCGAACCTTCCTTGTCCTGGATTTTAGCTTTGACATTGTCGATGGTGTCGCTGGACTCAACTTCCAACGTAATCGTCTTCCCAGTAAGGGTTTTCACGAAGATCTGCATCTTGGCGTGCCTTCGTTACTCCTCTATCCGGTTTACACTCTAGGTCTAGGCTATCCCACTGGAGATTATATGCTCTGGGATTAGGGTTTTGGTAGGGATAGTTGTTCGGGCTTGTATTTCACAAATCTAGGCCCAGGACCAAGGTTAAGGATGGTAAAATGGGCCCACTTGGCCCAGTTTTATGGGAACTTGAGTCTATGGCTCAATTAATTAAAATAACTTTTAGGATGATGCACTTTGTAGTCCAATTTGTCTCAAATTTAAGGAAGAGAAAAAGGTCGCCCAGGCCCAATTTCAGCTCCTGCTGTGCTGTGTTAAAATGGAAGAGCTATTTCAATTTCATCCAAACACAAATAATAATATGCAAGTGTAACTTCCCGTTATCAAGTTATGGCCATATATATGCCTGTCCAGTGGCAGTGGGTGAACCGACCGACCTTCAATTCCCTTCGCATATATATGCCTGTACACTGAGTAATCCGCTAATATAATATAATTGGTGTCTGTTTCAATGATTGTGTTCGGTGGGCAGAAAAGTAAGACAGGACAGATATTATGCGGCGCCCATCATCTTGTTGGTTCTGCAGAAGCACAACGTAGTGTTTGTGTTTGTGTTTGTGTTTTAGAAAAAGGCAACCTGTGTGTGTGTTTCTATCTGTTGTCTTCACTGCTAGTGCTAACACAAAACATGACTATATGGCCATTTCATTTCCCTTCCCTTCTTCGCTCCAAGTTCAAAAATCTGTTTGTTTTCCTTGCCTTGCCTTAACTTTGTTGTCTGATGAATGCAAAACTGTTGTGAGTGTTACATTACCCAATCCCCTGCCCATAATTTTTCTTCCTCTCTCTCCATTGCACTCTAAGCAACGCCTAAGAATCTCCCTCCCTCCCTCTCTCTCTCTCTCTCTCTCTCATAATTTTCTTCTCTGTTAATTTGTGGACGAGTGACCCCCCAAGTCAAAGTCGTAAAAATTGGTTGCTGAACCCATCCCATTTCCAATTACTTTTGAGTTTTGACACGCCATTCCAATATATTAGTTTTAAAAAAATCCCATTAATTCACCAAATAAGCATGTTTTTGCCAGTCAAAATCAACTTCTCTATTACCCTCACCAAATCTTTGCTGGCCTCTGCCTAACTTCAAACCCATTTGTCTCCTTGGCTTTGCTTCCAAGTTCAGAAGATTTTTGGAAGATCAGTTCTTATTATTCACAACTCAACTTCTGTTCTTTGCAATCTTTCTTCAAGTAAACACCATGTATTGCGTATTATATGAAGTTGCACAAAAGTTGTTAGTTGAAATCAAATTATTTGACCCATATAGGACACGTTTTGTCGAGCAAATAGTTTAAACTGAGATGATGGTTGAGTATAAAATACAATTCATTATGGTACATTTAAGCAAGTTTTTTCCATTAAGTTGTATGGGAAGTAGACAATTGTTCTGATAAATACTTGATTCACATTGTCACACAATAGTCATGTATACGTACTGTGTTGGTATTCATTTTGAACATGCCATAGAAAATTATTTTAACACAACCGAAGGATTTAACTTTTATATTATAGGGAAGTTATAGGGGTAATTAATAAAGCTATAGTAACTTGTTACTCAAAAAGAGAAAAGAAAAAGAAAAAGAAAGGCTATAGTAACTTGAGGGAAGGGGGACAAGGATGCCATAGGGCAGTATGCAGTGCAGTGCATGTTGTCTTTTATTGAGCTGATTGCTTTGGACTGATCTTTTTACCATGTTCTTCTTTATTATTATTTTTGACATGGCTGATAATTCGATCACACAAAGTTTTTCATGCTTCAAAAAAGGTTGTAAGAACACATAATTGTTTGTTCCACCTCATCGTCGAGTGGGAAGTAGAGAATGTTTTTCCAATGCTTAATTACCATTTCCCCTGCTTTCTTCTTGCAAAATACAACCAAAGATTAACCTCTATTTTTTTGTCTTCGATTCATACTGTAGTTGAAAGAGGCAACAGCAAAGCAATTTTGTAGGAAAGAAAGAACAAGCTTTACAAAGGAAAAAGAATAAAGTCTGGACGGTTAATTTGTGCAACCATTATTCCATGGTTTTTGTAACTATATTTTACGAATATACATTTTGACATCTTGTAAATTTCTGTTAACATATTTTTGCGTGATTTAAATAGATGATTCAAGATTTCATTTGATTGTTTCTTCAATTTAATTTAGTTATTTCTTTCCTGTATAATGAATTTATAAATACATCTGTTTTCATATGATTCTTCATTTCATAATTAGTATTCAAATTTGGAGTTGATTCAAAAAATTTCCATCACGTAAGCTACAAGGTAAGTTTAAAACAAGTCCAAATTAGAAGAGAGAAAGAAGTTCGAATCCAGTAGCTCGACCAAAGCACTGCACTTGGCCCACTTAGGGCCAGATGCCCAATTGACCAAGTCTCGACCATTGGCCAAGTCTTAGGCAACGACCGTCCAACAACTTAGGGCCAATGCCTGGTCGACCAGGTTTCGACCGTTGGCCAAGTCTTAGGTAGCGATCGTCCGACAGCCCCTGAAGATAGGCCCTGAACCCATCTTAACTTGATAAAGTTTTGCAACGGGCCCACAATGAAGCCCTGAGAGTTAGATTTTTTAGAAGGACGATTATTTTTTTTAGTTTAACATCTGGGGTGAGGATTCAAACTCTTTAACATCAAGGTTGAATATATGTGTCTTGACTTGCTAAGTTATGCTCTGTTAGAAGTCGAGAATTCAATCCCATTAAAATAGAAGGAAAGACTAAATCCTAGAGGTATGCAACCAGAACTATACTTTTAACTGCACAATCTTTAACCTCTAATTCTATCAAGTATTATTGGAGAGTGTGTGGCTAGTGTTTAGTAATATTTGTTTAAATTTAATAGATATAAATTGAAATATAAAAATAGACAACGAAATCTTACCTGAAATAGTATAATGAGCAGGTGCAATAATTTTGTTTATTACCAAATACAATTTTATTGTTTGAAGACCCATGTAAGATTCGGAGTTGTAAGTAGGAGTATTCAAAAAACTCAACAATCCGTTGAACTCGATGAACCAATCCAAATTTTAAGGTTGGGTTGGGTTGTGATTTTCCCAATCTGATCGGGTTGGATTGGGTCAGGTCTCGGATTCCACCTTTAAAAAAATCGAGTCAATCCAACCTACCTAATTTAGGCATATATTTGTATTTTCCTTAATTATATATAATAATAATATCTTTATCTTCAATATCAACCGTCTATTTAGTGTTAATCATAGTCCTTCATTTAATGTTTTCATATTATCTTCTTCCATTTTATATTTTAATCTCAACCGTCCATTAAGTTTCAATCATAACTCCCCGTCACCGCTGTGATAATTAAAAATTATAAAAAAACACACACAAACCAACAATCCAACCCGGAAATATTGGGTTGGGTTGACCATCCAATTCAAACTCGACGGTTCCTATACATGGCAAATCCGAAAATTCAGATTGGTCCAAAAACTCTTCCTAACTCGACCGAACTGAACCGAACCGGTGAAAACCCGTAGTTGTGAGTCGTGAGTTGAATGGATAATTTGACTAGATGATTTAAAAAATATAGAAAACTTTCACATGCCAAATCTTATTTTCTTTAAAATCACTAATTTTATAGGATTTGGGAGAATTGATCTTCTTGTCTGCTCAAAGAATACAAAGGACAGCCTTGCAAGTTTAATAATTATGAGTTATTATTAATAATTTATTCCCTATTCTCTAATCTAATAATGGACACAATTTTTTTAAAATTTTAAATGATTCTAATAATTTGGCCTTAAAAATATTAAAAAAAAGAAACTTATTGGTTACCATTTTTTGCGTTCCAATTTTAAGTTCTCAACAAAATTATAATCATTATCTTCTAAAAAATGCAGCAACGAGGATGAACTTTGAGACTCAAAATCTAATTGAGGGTGGAAAGGGATAAAAGGAGTAATTTATGGGCTCAATTTTATTTACTCAAACTTTTTGTTATTGCTATCTAAGTTGGTAGATTATTCGTACTTAATATGTTATAAGTTTTAAATGAAACATTTTCCGCCTTTACAAATTATAATAAAAATTATTGAATTTTAATCATCGTGTTTAGAAAATATTTGTGATGTAATTTATCTATGATTTAATAAAATAATTTTAGCAAGAGAAGAGAAGTTAAATACATGATGATTAATAGTTAACCCAACTCAATTGACAATGGGCTAATAATTACAACTAAAATTGAAGTTATTTTATTTTGTTTCCTAATCACAATGAGATTTTTACTATAAACATTTGAAAATTTTGATCTCATGTATTTTGATAGAGATAAAAAAAAATAGAAAGAAAATCTGGAGTTTTAATAATTAGAATAGTTAGAGAAAACTGAAAAAGGAATAATCCGGTAGGGGAGGGAAGGGATGAGGAGTGATCCAGTTGGGAGTCGGAGTCGGAGTCGGAGTGTTTGTGTGTTTCTTTGTTGTTGCTGTTCTTCGTCTTCTTATTCGTGTTTCTCCATCTAATTAAATCCTAAATCCAGAGAAAATCCAGGAGTTGCTCTCCTTCTCTTCTGTCTCGTAAGTGGTAAAAGCCGAACCCAAACCCATTGCCCAACCATAGTTTAATATAATAAGAGGCATTGCGAACGAAGCACCCGATCTGTATTTTCTTCCCCCCTATGATCGCCTCCGGCACCGACATCGCCCCCTCCTTCGGCGTCGGCGGTGGCTTGGTCTCCCGGATGATGGCGGGGGCACGGCCGAATGCAGCCGTCGTCGCGTTCACGGCCTTGGCGGGCCTCGCTGTGGTCCTCGTTCTCTTCTACTCTGCCAGTAGGTAAAACCACAAACCAATCTTTTATTCACACAATTTCCAATTCAAACGGGGAAAACTAAGGTTTCGTTTGGTAGTAGTACAAGGGCAAATCTACCCAATTCCTTTCTGCCCACCAATCATTTTTCCATAGATGAGAGCTCTTAAACGAACTCAAACTCCCTCCTCTCCGGATCCCAATTCCAATTCTCCTCCTTCTTCATCTTCGTCGTCTTCAGCCTCGTCCTCAGCTCCATCGTCATCGTCATCGTCATCGTCATCGTCATGGGTTCATTTGCGTTCGGTTCTATTCGTTGTCACTTCCTCTTCACCGGCTTCTTCTTCCTCCTCTGATCGGTGAGTCTCTCTTTCCTTCCTGTTTTGCTTCCGATTTGTCTTATTCAGCTCAAAATTAAGCAAACTTAGTTTTCGACACAGATCTTCAGCGTTTCAGATTTTACTCGGGTTTCTAGGGTCACATTTTTACCTCAATCTAGTTGTTTAGGTCATCCCAGTTCCATGTCTCCTTTCTGGACTATGTAGTTTCCTGTACATTTAGGTTATTTTCTCACATTGTCAACTTACTATCTAAATCTCAAGTTTGTTTCGGTCTGATAGATGTCTTGATCACTTTAGTCATCTTTTATTTTCAGCTATAACTGGTGAATTTTTAGTTTCATTGATCTTAGTTCTTAGAAGGAGGTAGATAGCTAGGCGATTCTGTATCCTGACGCCATTTCAGTGGATAAGATTAAAATGAATTGACTTTGCTATATTAACCTTGTTTTAGGGGACGCCTTAAATCACCCTGGTCACGCAAGAAAAGAAAGAATGCGCTTACACCGCAACAATGGAGGAGTTTGTTTACTCCAGATGGGAAACTTCGAGACGGCGGAATTAAGTTTTTAAAAAAAGTTCGCAGTGGAGTGAGTAAACATCACTTTGTCTTATGCATTTTCTTTCAAGAGTTATTAATAATTTCATGACATTGGAGATATTTATTGATTTCATTTTGGTCTCATGATTTCTACTAGGGTGTAGATCCAAGTATTAGGGCAGAGGTCTGGCCGTTCCTTCTTGGAGTGTAAGTGAATCCTCCCCATCAACACCCCTCCCCAAATTTTTTTTTGTCTTGTAATCTGGCACAACATATTTTAGTTCTTTAGTCCATTGGGGATCTGGTCAGGATGCTGGGTAGCTTTTTCTGCCTTTTCTTCTGGCTCCCTACAAAGTGCATCATCTTAACGAAAATACATGAGCTATTTTAATTTATAATCTCAACTGTGCGGCTTTGAATCTTAATGAGCTGGAAATATCTACCGTGGTTCGTCTATTTTTTCAAAATCTTCCTATTCTCAAAAAACGGTTTTTTATAGTTCATCATCATCATCCTTATAATTTCTTCAATCTCATCATTTTTCTTATTGCATACTTATTCCAGCTAGATGTCTCTTTCAGATCCACCCCTACTTGGCTTCCTTTCTCTCACTAAACACTACACATCCCATCTGTGTTATATTATAGGAAAAATATATTTTTGCTCCAATCACAACAATTGTAAGTCTCAACATGATCCAATGAGTTTAAAAGTGTGTCCCAGCATGCCTGCAATTTATAGTATAATGAAAGGTTTGACCTTCTGCTTGTTGCACACTGGATCACATTGTTTTTCATATCAATGATCTGTCAAAATCGGGAAGTCTGTGCTACATGGGTTTGTATGTTACAAACAAATGAAGGATAGAGAGCTATTCCTGCATAGAAATTGGGATGCAACATTGTGATGCTTCTTCCCAGTATAACCTTTTATCTTTTGACTCGTTCATCTTATCTTTTGTTCACTCTTTTTATAGGATTAGTCATAGCCTAATCCTTTGCATGCTTCCTCATGGTTTCCCATTGCTAGCATTTATGCTCATCTTTATTGGTGGTTTTCATGGGACTTGAGGAGTCCTTTCTGCAGAAATTATTTCTTATTGGTTGGATTTCCAATTTCGAGAAGTTGAAAGGTCTTCTTTT